AACTGGTGTCCAGATTCAGCCGCTGTTGAAACTGATCAGTTTCAGCAGCAGCTGAATCTGGATGCCAGTTCCGACTTACATACAGATTCCACTTAAGAACAAACCTACAGTCCCTATCTTGTACGTAACCCGGGGACTGCCTGTACTATATATTTGAGAAAGTTTGTATGTCTGTGTCTGTCTGTGTCCACCCTTCTACGAGTCCATTTGTAGAAGAACTCCTAAGTCTGGTGTCCAACATGCTAGCAACTAGCCACATGTGGCTATTCGGCCAGTTGAGTGTGTGCTTCAGAAATGGTTGGACATCACAGTTCTAAACGGTAAGAGCTAGGACCACCAAATTTGGTATGAAGCTTCCTCTTATGACTTAAAAGAAGGTCATAGTTGGTTGTGCCAGGAAAATGGGATGTGAATGCAATTGTTTCTCATCAAACAAAGGGAGGGGTGTGGCAGCAGGGACAGTTATATTAAAAAATGACCACAGGAGGCAGCAAGTGCCCAGAGCAGCCATGTGGCCCCTGCCGTCTGAGATCGGCCATAGGGGAACAGCCAGTGGCCGCCCACAATGCCTGTGCTGAGCCCTCCCACCTCTCGTCCTGATTCCTGCATCCACCCCTTTCCCTGAGCCTCTAATAGAGAGGCAGCAGCATGGGGAGGAGGGAAACAGGTGGCTTTGTGGGATCCATGGGCACTGGCTTCCTTCCCCTCCACTCCCTTGCTACCTCTGATATAGACGCACCAAGGGGGGTGCATGAAGTCGTTTGGATTAACCAATAAGCCCAGATGTTTTGGTTAATTATTTAAAGGACATTAGGCCAAGATCGGTAGCCAGTGTGTTTGCAAACAGAAGCGACACCTTCTCTACTCCCCTCCCGGGCAGCGCCATATGCTAGGCTGCTTTTGAATAAAAGTGGGGGAAGCTCCCTGTTCCCTCCACCCTTTCACCCCTCAAGAAACCCTCCCAGGTGCTGGGCTGCTTTGAGTAAAAGCGGCACCTCCTTGTCTACTCTGTCCCTTTCTCTGCCCCCAGGTAATTCCACATGCTTGGCTGCTGGTCAGAGTAGAAGGCAGGAAGCACCCATACAACAGGGAGCAATCCAGATCTGAGGATGAGACTGTGCTAATTTGGTACTACAATGCTCAAGCTTGTTGTCCATCCATGTTATTCAGACATTGCTTAGGTACAGAAATAAAAATAAATGAATAAAATATGCAGAATGATTTCGAATCACAACAGCTCTGATGAATGGCAAAGAAAA